ATACTCAATAAAGATGAAAACTGGTGCATGTCAAAAACAGATGAATGAAAAAATAAAGGGAATAAAGGGGTAAAGTAGCATTTTAGTTTTCTTAGGAATTGCGGGAAAACAGGGAATGAGAGTGGGGACAGATGCTCATACTTGACAAAAAATAAACAACGATGGCATATTTCAAAGGAATCAACAGTATAGAACATTATATATGCCAGGGAGTAGCCAAATAAAAATCGTGTTAAAAAATAAACTGAAAGGGGAGGGGAGGTTTTGTAGGAGGAGCAAAAAGCAACCTGAAGCATCCCTTAATAAACACCTCACACAAGACATGCAACAAGCGATAACAGCAGCACATGCACTATAGTTAAGTCTAAGCAGCAGCAGCAGCAGCAGCAGCTAGGAAAGCAACATCAGTACTCTTGGTTAATTTTACATATTATGCGTTTTAATCTGATTAATATCTACGCTACAGCGATCACGGTTACTATTTAGTAGATACCTTCATAGTTGTTTTTTCTTTTTCTTTGTCCTTTGTCTCAAATCTCCGCTATATCAACAGAAATAAAGCAATCTGGAGTTCATACAAGACTAACTAGAAGGGGCAATCAATTGCGATAGTAATTGATAAATCACTCAAACCTTTGCAGTAAATACAACAGACAACTTTGACATGTGCATTTGCAAGTTTTTTCCAGCATTCAATTTTTAGGTCCTTTAAAGCATCTTATTATTTAATTTAAGAAGAGAGACACCAGCAATAGAAATACAAGTTCAAATGATGTCTGCTGTTCATTGCCTTTATTGGCATTTGAAACAACAAACAAAGCTAGCAAATAATGATAAGCAAATTAGATAAACGAATCCATTAATAAAATTAAAACATTCACATGCTGAAGCAACAACAAAAATATTGTAATGGCATCCACTGGCAACTGAAAACGAAAAGTCGTACATAGTTGAATTATAAATTAGAACAAAAACTTGAATAGAAAATCAGGTAGAGAAAAAGCTACTGCAAAATGTTTACAATTTAAAGGGCATTAAACAATAACACTATTGTGAGTTCAGTAAAGTCATATTTCTTTACCTTAAAACTTGGGGCTTGTGGTACTGGTGTATTTTTAGCATTATTTTCTTTGTTATCATCTTCATCATCCGGCGTGTCTGGAAATTCATAAATCTTGATTTTATTTTCTTCTATGTCTTTCATGATCTTCAAGAAAAGAAAAGAAACGGCTGATAATAAAAGCATTGATTGCGTGACAACGCTCGCATATAAGATTTTAGGGTGTCCAGTGCAAAGTGACTAAAAAAAAAGATGATAATATTGAACAGCAAATGTTCATGTAGTGTTATCTTGAGTGAAAACTTTCTTTCACCAACTAGACAGTGCCATCTAGTGGCCATAATCAAAAAATTCAATCTGAACACCTATCATCAACTGAATCAAAATAATGTAATAACGATGTCCAACATAATAAACATCATCTATAAATAAAACATCTAGCACATTAACAACAAATATCATGTGAACTAACACCAGTCATTTTAACAAAGCAATAAGCTAATAGATGACTCTATAAACCTAAGGCAGATAGAAACATGTGTCCTACATCACACTGTCAAAGCCATTGTATACAATTCACTGATGAACACCATCATACCTGTTTCTTGAACTGTTTACATTCTTCTGGTGTTAGAGTGTCTGCTTTGGAGATTAATGGTATAATGTTGACCTTCTCGTGAAGCTTCTTCATAAATTCAATATCTAATGGTTTTAACCTGTGAATATGCATAGGGTAGGATATGTCAATACAGTGAAGTGTTGGGGTAAACCATATGCTTGGCATTTCTCATCAATATTAATGATGGATGAATGACCTGGGACATCTAGTGTTCTTTAGTTTCCTTGTCTATTTCAGATTTTTTATCATCAGATTTTTGTTTATGGAACAACAAAACAATCCTTCAATAGTTGACAATTTGCTTCAATTATGTTGTTAGATTTTTGTTTATGGAACAACAAAACAATCCTTCAATAGTTGACAATTTGCTTCAATTATGTTGTTGCTTTTGTTTCAGAGGTTCGTACACTGATTTGGGTGTTTTACATATAACTTAACATACATGGCATCACAAACTATGAAAATTCATTATCCACAATTTGGTTGGTACATGAGGAAATACATTTAGTGTATAATACTTTTTTAGGCAAAAATATATACCGGTAGTTTGCATTCATGTAAAAACCCGCACTTCAGAATAAAGAACTCCTGCTGCTATTACTTAAGCAGGTGAAGTGTTCTAAACGGGTAAAATACACATAGTTGTTAGAAGCAGGATGATGATAGCATATAAATGAACTTGTAGCTTAGATTAAAGTGCCTGTGAAAGAGCCCGGGTTCTACGTATGCATTTTATACATGTTTTGGAAGTTGTTAAAATAATTATTTGGTCTTTCACCATTTTGTGGCCATTTGAAAATTATAATTATAAAACCGCAACCTTTCCTTTATAAACACAAGAAAACCTCCATCTAAAGGAGAGTGTGTATGACGACAATTTTGAAAGGTCAACCAGGAGTTCATTGCAACCACATATATAAACATTCCATGACATGGTGTGTAAATGCCATTTTTTATTGGTCAATTACTTGACTTGGTGTACATCATTTAGTGTGAAAGATCACATGATATTTTACTACTGCAAGTTTTTACTATTCTGAGTAAGATATATCCTTGAGAACCATAATGGCGACATTGTTTCCTTTTTTTCTGACATTTGATAAAGGAGTTTTACTTTGAGACAAGTCAGAAAGCTAGGAACAATCAAATGCGACGGGACATAGGTGTGACTAAAACTCATTCAATTTTACTCAAATATTTTTTAAATGTCCACTTCAGTACAAAATGAACCAAAACATGTCATACATGAGTTGGTGGGTCTTTTACAGGCACTTTACAGAGTTAAATAAAACAAAATTATTCAACTCCCTCGGGCGAAATGGATAATCCAGCAGAGAATTTGTCAATATATGGTGAAAGATCATTAAAAGGTTGGACTAGACACATAAAAACACACCATCTTTAAGGATTGTTGGACTGATTTAATTTATAGAGTCATACTGATACAGTTCATCTTCAGTACCCTGTCAGATACATAAGGATTCTTGTGTCAACCCATCAAATTATAGTGGGACAGTAGTAAAAACTAACTCTTTAAATAAGAACACTTACCCATGCCCTGTCGGCGCTATAAAATAAAGACAGCAATGGACTCTGTTATCTGGCATTGTGCGTCTATTAACTCTGGATTCAGCATTTAAATAATCTTCAAATGTATTGTCAATATAGTCTGTGACAGGTACCCAGCTGAAAGAAAAACACGCAATACAAAGTTTACTGTTTATTTTTTCTACTTTTCTATGAAATTTTCATGTTGAAGATGATCATAGCACACCAGCATCCACAGCCGACTGACATCAAACTTTTCAATTTTACATAGAAGCTTATATAACATCATTGCATGCTATTAATTTAGCAAGAAAGTATGATGAAACCTGTGGGCGAAACAATAAGTGGCTAATTTACTTTACTAGGTGCAGTAATCTTGTGCATACAAATATTAATATTTAACAATATGTTAACAATATTTATTTATTCTATGAAGTATAAATACTACCATGGCTCATTGTTCACCAGCATCTTTGGGGAAGCCAAGCATGCAAATATATGCCAAGAATTATAGACTTATTAATATTGATGAACTGTGAGTAACTATTTTCAGACTTAATATCAATTTATTAAGCATTGACAGCAGCAAACATTCTTGAGAAAAGCAACTAACATTAATTTGCTTTATTAATCATCTAGGGTCTGACTAATCTGACCTAAAGTAAGTGGTTACATCCGCTTTGAATCTGAAGTTTGATGACATGAAAATGAAGGATTGTGTGTAAATTCAAAATGTGTCATGAAGGATGTTTGCAATCACAGTAATAGTCGACTCACCAATTACTATTATCAACCGCATCCCCAAATCCAGGTGTATCTACTATTGTAAGCTGAAGCTGAACACCGCCCTCTTTGATTAAAACTTTTGATGTGTCCACCTGCAACAAAGAAACAACACCACTTGTTTATTATTATCACAGTATTTTTGAATGAACAAAAACAAACCAAAGTTTGAAGAAAAATGAGCACTTAAACTAAGAATGATATTTGTTTATCTAAAGTGTAAAGTGTTATTTGAAGTGTTTTATATTATGTTGCTTGTTGGTAAAGAGTTTCCTACCTGTCACTGGTAGCATAGTGGTTGTCGCATCAGACTCATCATCGGTAGACCCAAGTTCAAATCCTACCGTAGGCTGAACATCAAAAGGGTCGACCCCTACCCTGGGTGTGTGTACCACAGACTCAATGGGAAGGCCAATTCCATTGGCCGATATTCATTCACTAACAAATGCGACTTTGGGGGAACCTTGGTTAAGGTCCAGGCCTGGTTGACGCCAGGATAGCGCATTACAAATTGCCATTTGACAGAGAGATGGCCACACAGCCCTGTCATGTAGTCCCAAACATGAATATGACTTCTGTGGCGGCAAAATGCACTATGTGTCGTCACTAGCACTTGCAATTTGCACATAAAAAAAAAAATAGTCAGGAGAGACAACAGTGACACTCAATGTCCGGAACTGTCATTTCCTTTGTTCAAAATGATTTAGTCTACCACACCACAACCCCAAATTTGATCGTGAAGACATGAAACCATTCATTGACCATCATTTTAATATAATACTGAATAATTACAGTGACCACTGAGACTATTGTGAATGGGGTGTGATTTAGTAAATTATGCTTCTATTGACCTGATCTGTTGACAACCGTGAATAATGGTATACTTCCTCACACTGAGTTTACCTTTCAAATATTGCGAATTACATTTTTTTTTTAAATTATTTTCGCTGAAATCAATGCCAACTGATTGTTTTTAAACATCGCAGTAATTCATTTTCCCATGTTGTTAAA